TCTCCTTTTTCTGAGACCCAGAACTATTCCGTTTGGGGTATAACATCTTGCTCATATTGTCACGGGTGGTGACTAATAAACAAGAAATAAACAGGAATAAATAAACGTTTAATGTGGCGAACTTGTGCCAAAAATAAATGGGTACAAAAGAAAGATAACAACAGAGCGTCGCGGGCGTCGAAGGCGGCGAAGCAGCACGATCAAACGCTGAGGCGAGACTGAGTCAACAAGGTCGCGGGCGGCCTCTTACCTAGAGTGCGTCGCTATCTCGAAGATTCGGCGAAAGCGGCTCGAGCGTCGCGTGATTGGGGCGAGAATGAACACGCACTTTCTAGAAAACAAAAGCAAAAGATACATGGATATAAATAATAGAAGTTACGTGCGCTACATGAATAAACCGGAACTTTCTGGAGGTCCGTCACCGAGCGTTGCTTTCTCAGCCCTGCGCGCGGCAATATCTAGGCCTAAAAGTTTTATGAGCGAGATCGGTACAATCGATTTGCCACCACCAGTGAACTTCACGAACGCGTACATCGTGCAACAAATACACACCACATCGCTGATATCGCACACAACTCCGAAGACGAAAAGTACCGAGCGTGAGGGCGTATCCAGCGCGGTCGAGGTCCAACTCTAACGGTCCAGCAGTAGCCACAAAAAAAAAATAATAATAATATTAATGGCGACGCAGACGCAGGGACAAAAGAAAGCGCGCGCGCGCGGGAGACGAGATCTGGGCTTGGCTTGGCTGCGCCGGGTCGCGCTTCCACTCCCGCGAGTGAAGCCACCGGATGGCCATCTTGTATGTTAAGAAGTCGCCTTTCTGGAACGTTGCGGAGGCTGGCGGCAGCGTGCTGGAGACACGTTTTCTACCCGTGCTTCGTCATTCACCGGAGAAGTTAATTAAAACCGTGTGTATTCCTGAGAGGTCCCGTGGAGAACACGTGGCAATGTTTTACGGAAGCGCAGTGTCGCGGGAAAATGGCACAACTCGCAACCAAGTTTGGCCGGACTCGCTGCGTGATCGAAGCCTCCTTGGCCCGCCAAAGCGCTGCGTCTCTGTACCTTCGCACCTAGATGGATGGATGAATAAATATTGGCTCTTTCCTTTATAAAGGGCGGTAGCTTGCGCCACCTTGCCTCAAAATATTTAATTTAAAAAAAAGTTTGCTTTTACAGCTCAAGTTAAAGCTCAGATTATAATTTCCGTTATTAAATAACCTGTACCTTTTTATTCCCGTCATAATCAGCTTTTGCCGAACTTGTCATATGAAATCAACGAAGATTTAGATGACACCGAAGCATAGAAACTGTCATATATACGTAGTCAATACAAGTCTCATTGATGTTGATTTCGATTGTCGTTTCGATGGGTGGCGCAGAGTTCTTTGCCTGATACTAAAGTTTCGGCTACAGTACAAAGCTGCCCGGTTGTCAAGCGTCTAGCATCCTCCATGAGTAGTTGTAAGCTATGGAATTACAGTTAGAAATATTTTGTGACTTCTTCATCCTGCAGCTCAGCTCCATAGAGTTACTGGCAGGGCAAAAGGTACAGGTCTGTTGTCTGCTCGCCCTGCCACCTTGTGAGCTTTTAAGAGTGCTAGGGTATTTAAAAGAGTAAGTGTACACTATGTGGAGGGGGCGAGCCGATGGCGTCGCCCCCGTCGTTTATTGTTCGCTGCTACCTGGTGACAATCGGCGCGGTATCAACGGGTATCACTGCCGGGTAACTGCACTGCGGCACATGCGCCGTTGTCGCTGTCACGCAACCTAGGGCGGTTAAAAATGTTTTGAGCGTTCTTTCACGTAGCGCAGTTGTCGAAAGGCAACCTGCATGCTCTACGATTATGATACAAACCGGTTTTATTTCGATGAAAGAGCGCATATAACTATGCGGCCTGCTCCGCAGGGCGCACATGCGGGTGCCGCGAGCGGGCGTTCAGGCGCGGTTAATCCGCCGAATTACGCGAGCGTGCATAACGAGCTCAGTTTTTTTTGGGGGTAACATTTGAATAACCAGTGATACAATGAAGGATTTTCTTGCGCACTAAATCACTGGGACAGCGCATTACAATTGTTTCCGCCAAATGTGTAGCTAAATCAAAGTGCGCGGTGACATCTGTGTCTTCGAATGGTGCAACTGGATAAAGTGCCGATCGCTGCGAGCTTAACATATACAAATATATCGGTTAGTTAAGGTTCGAAAAAAAAAGAAAAAAAGAATAACGTAGTATTGTAGGAAGTTGCTTCGATAGTTCATAGACATTGCCCGACGGTCAGCGTGCATATAGTAATTTTGCACTGACAGGGCGTGCATTATTGAGCCCCAAGATATACTTATTTGTAGTGATACAAACATTAACAATATTAAATAGTTTCGTTTTAGAATCAATTTCTTGTATTCTACTTGCAATTTGGCATTCTATCATATCAATTAAAACCAGAAAAAACATGCCAAAAACAAAACACTGGACAATTGCATTTCAGAGCAAACAAAATCATATGCTTTTATATAAAAGTTATTAATACCGGGTGCTTGAAAGACGAAAGTACCCAACAAGCCATCTGTGCCAACCTGCTCTGTGTTCATGTTTTGACGTCGGGTATCTCAAAGGAAAGTAATTGTAAAATAATTGGATTACTTTCTAAAGTTAATTTAAACTGAAATCAATTACTTTTTCTCCACTATAGTTATAATTGTAATTACCTTATTTCGAACAAAGAGAGTTTGTATGTCTTTTTTTTTCTTTATTTAGACCACAGGTCTGGGAGGCTGGAGCAAAAGGTGGCAAACATTGTAACTATAATTAAATTACATTTACCGAGTGATTGATCAAAGTATACTGCTAGGCAGGTTGCATAACCCCGAACCTTTATTTTGTGTATCTACACCAGTTTTAACAGTTCAATTGCCTGTTAGAGGAGTTCAATTACCGATTTGAACAGTTCAGCCACTAGTTTGCGCAGTTAGCTACCTTTTTGAACAATTCCATCACAATTTGAAGCTCTGCTACAAGTTTAAAGAACAGTTTGATTATCAGTGTAACCAGTTCAGTCACCATTTTGAACAGTTTGAATACCAGTACTACCTGTTCTGCAACCACTTTCATCTGTCTAGCATTCAGTTTAGCCTGTTTGGTAAGTTCAGCTGTCTCTTTTCCTAGTTCGGTTGCCTGTATGGCAAGTTTTGGTGTCTATTTGGCAAGTTTGGCTGCCTAATTGGCAAGTTCGCCTGCCTGTTTGGCAAGTTTTGCTGCCTGATTTTCAAGTTCGGTTGCCTCTTTGGCAAGTTTTGCTAACTGTTTGGCAAGTTCGGCTGCGTGTTTGGCAAGTTTCGCTGCCTGTTTTGCAAGTTAGGTTGCCTGTTTGGCAAGTTTGGCTGCCTGTTTGGCAAGTTCGGCTGCCTGTTTGGCAAGTTTTGCTGCCTGTTTGCAAGCTCGGTTGCCTGTTTGGCAAGTTTGGCTGCCTGTTTGCAAGTTCGGCTGCCTGTTTGGCAAGTTTCGCTGCCTGTTTTGCAAGTTCGGCTGCCTGTTTAGCAAGTTTGGCTGCCTGTTTGGCAAGTTTTGCTGCCCGTTTCGCAAGTTGGGTTGCCTGTTCGGCAAGTTGGGCTGCCCGTTTGGCAAGTTCGGCTGCCTGTTTGGCAGGTTAAGGTGACCAGTCTGGCACGTTAATGTTCCAATTCGGCCGGTTTGGTTTCCTATATCGCCAGCTTAATCAGTTCGATTTCTATTTTGCCCAGTTCAAATTTGGGTGTGCCGGGTTCCGAATGATACTGTTCTTTTTTTCAATAAGTCTGACTACAAAAAAGTAGTCGGGGTTTTATTGGGCACACCGCAAAACCTCAGCGTTTTTTTTGTTTTGTTTTTTCGTGAAAGTTAGACAGCCTGAACATCGTAAATGTTGAGGCTGTCTATTCGATGTCGGTGCGCTTTAGGTCGAACTAAAGTTTTGCGGTGTCGTATATGAGACAAAGGGGTGGAAGAATATACCCTCTTTTTCTGAAAGTGTAATAAATGAGGGAATCACGGGAATCTCGTAGTAATCAGGAAAATACTATGTTGTACATATTTTTAACAATATACAAGTGTTTTCCCAAAACAAATAAAAGCGGCGAAAAAAAAAAACAATAACTTGACGCCTATAAAAAAATAACGGTTAGGATCTCAAATGCTGGAATGTTTAATTTAAAATATACATTAATTCCGTGGTTTCAAACATTTTATTAAAGCCCTTTATTGAATACACACCACTACTCGCAGTTGGTACGTATAGTGCTCACCAAACGTATCCTGAACACGCGAAGTGTATCAAGTTATCTTATGAGAGCGCTATTCTTACGGCATCATAGCTGCTCCACTGTATCAGTAGCTCGGGCTGTTCAATGGAACAGCCCGAGCTGGAGAGGCCGCTCGCTGGAGCGAGTACACCGCAACAATATTGCCGGCTCACAATTCTATTCTTATTTCCACCTTTTCGCACTAAGATGCATAGCAGACTGTCGAAACAGTCAGGGATCGGAATATTCAATCGCTATTCATTCGATGTTCCTACCAGATGCGACAAAAAGCGGCGTAGAACGCCTCTCAGGCGAAATTCGTGCTTTGTCCCGGACTGTTCCGCTGAGCGCTACGTCATGCAGTAGTTATTCGCCTGCCGCTAGGATAGCGTTTCCGTTAGATAAGACTAATGACACTATGGCACTGTCTGGTACCGGAGACACTTTGTGAGCACGGTGAGCGCTCGAAGTATTCCAATATATAATTGCTGATCTCCAAGACGCGCACCTCGCAGAGAGTGCATATAGGTACACCTCCATGGGGACAAGTGCGGTACGCCTTATCAAGTTATCTTGGATATCGCTATTGTCTTCTCGCGACAAGCGCCGTCCGTTCTAGCACTAAATATGGCTAGCAGCGAATGAAAGAAGGAATTATCTTTGGCAGTAGATATATTCAATGTGTAAAGAGGATCGGCAACATTTCATCATCACTAAAGAAATCGGTCTCCTTTGTTCAGCAATCAACATCATTGCCGGAATTTCCCTGCGATAAAAAGCTATCGTCGCCCACGCATTATTTGACTTGACGGGAGGGCAGTGGGTGGATATATCTCATTTAGTTCTGTCGAAGACGTGTGGCACCTGATGGTGGGATCCTTTCGTTCTTCAGTTTTCTGACAGAGTGCCGCAATCATGTCTCGGCATCTGGCTACTACTGCCTGCCTCGTAGTTGGCGTCTTATGGCACTGTCTGGTACCGGCGGCGACAGGTAAGAGACTTTACACTTTTGGGTATCCGCAGTTGTACATTCCAACAGAGCTTAAGGAACGTTGGACGTGGCGTGTTCTCAGCACCTTATCATACCCCCGATGCCAAAAGAGAGTGATGCATCATGCGAATAAGAATGACGAAGGACGAGTCACAAAGTCAAAGTCAGAAGCCAGATGTCAATAAGCCAGGCCTAGGAATTCTTAAGGTCTCGGGGACTATAATGATAGGCAGCTTAACTTAACGCCGGGCAGTTCGAGCATCTCACTGTCGCTCTCTAGCCAAACAAAGTGCGACGTTAGTTCGTAAGAACGCCGAACAACTGATCACGAAGCAAGGTGCCGGCGCGCCACTTCTGTGCGTTTGCCCACACAGAGTGTTCGGCACTGCGCGTGCGCTGAATCCAGGTTTGTGCGAAGTAAAGCATCTGCGGGTGCGCCTTGGCCTTACCACCGACGACAGCGCCACCCCTGTGGCCTGGTGTTATAAGAGTTGCGCGTCTATGTATACAGTCAGTGAAGAACGCTACTTGCGGTCACTGGGTCGTCCAAACGGCGAACCGGAGCATAAAAACGCGTCTCCGTTCTCAGTTTTCCTTTTTTCTAGATTGTAGTATTTAGATATACAGGGTGTTTCACGAAAAGCGGACAAATTCGATATTGCTAAAAGTACTCGTCGCAACGAAAAAAAGGCTTGTTTCTTTATGGTCTTGGGCCAGCGGCCCTTTTAGGAAAATTATTGAAGTATAAAATAATTAGATTGTTAATTATTTTCGTGCAATTAACTGTTTTTAATATTGTGTTTAAGGGCATGGTTTCAGTTAGAAAAGTGCTCAGCAACATCGAAAAACACTAAGTCAACAAATCGCAGAACGATAGAAAGCACGCGCAGATTTTTACGGCTTTCTGAAAAACCACGCAAATTCGAGCGGTTTTTAGGTTTCGGTTTGCAATCGGAGCGCATCTTGGCCCCGACGGCACCGCGCCCCTTGGAGAAACAGTGCGATCAACCTCTGCTGCGCTGACCTCGCACAACGCAGCAGAGGCTGGCTGCACTATTTGTCCACGGAGCGCCGTGCCGTCGGGGCCGAGATGCCCTCCGATTGCCAACCGAAACCCAAAAACTCGTCGAATTTGCATGGTTTTTCAGAAAGCCGTAAAGTGCTGCCCGTGCCTTCTATCGTTCTGCGATTTGTTTATTTACTGTTTTTTGATGAGGCTGAGCAATTTTCTTATTTAACATTGCCCTTAAACAGAATATTGATTGATTGATTGATTGATATTTATTTATTTATTGCGTGCCCAAAAACACCATAATGGTTTTGACATTGGTGCACAGAAGTCAGATTCCTATGAAACATGCAAACATATGGAAACCACAATAGTCATATTAGAACAGTCAGCATAATAAAACAGTCGTAACAAAGTACATAAAATACACATCAGGTGTTAAAGGTAAAATAAGGCATGAAAAAAAACTCGTGCTGGACAAGGAGGTTGCATGATGTCTGAATACGATAGATTGGTGACTCCTTTAATCGCATGTCGGGGTAGAACATGTCGCACTGTCGCGTGAATTTCGTTGGCACACGTAACTTTATGCTGTCCAAAAGGTCAGGTACGTCAATTACACCCTGGATAAGCTTTTGTAGAAAAGCCGCATCTCGGCAATGCCTTCGGTCATCCAAAGTGCTGAGATTCAAAATCTTAAGCAGAGAATGGTGGTCGAAGTAAAGTCTCTTGTGGAAGTATCGATCATAGACTATGCGAACCAAACGCCTTTAGTGTAATTACTATAAAATAGTAATTACACAAAATAATTAGCAATCTAATTATCCCGGACTTTAATAAGTTTCCTAAATAGACCCCTGGCCCAGGACCAAAAAGAAACAAGCCGTTTTTCGTTGCAACGCGTAGTTTTTTCAATATCAATTTCGTCAACTTTCGTGAAACTCTTTGCACATATACGGCCTTACAGGGGCATGTTCGTCACCTGGAAAAGTGAGCAACGCACGCGCCATACCCGTCAGCGTTGAAAATTGCGCCGTCCGGAAGCTTCTTCTAGAAACAATTTATACCTTTTTCGAATATAAATGATGACTAGGTTTCAGACCGCCGTCGATTTTTCTAGTAATTCTGTACAAGTCATTCAGCGCTTCTCCCCAAGACTGGAATGCCTAGACTGTAAAAAACGCCCGTGCGTCTACTTTCCCGCACAACACCGGAGAGCCAATCACAGCAACTTACGGAGGCAATGCAGCGAATGACGATGCCAAAACATATGTGTAGACAAAAAAAAACGCAGTCTGAGTTGTGACATTAAGCAATGCACGTGCGACGTTTTGCATTGCTTATTGTCACAACTCAGACTGTGTTTTTTTTATCTAAACATATGCTTCGGCATCGTCATTCGCTGAGCTGCCTCGGTAAGTTGCTGTGATTGGCTCTCCAGGTGTTGTGAGGGAAAGTAGACGCACGGGCGTTTTTTAGAGTGTAGTCAGTGGTCTCTGAACTTAGGCACGGTGTCCGTTATATTCCCCGGAAGAGGGCAAGAGCGCATTGAGAAAACGCGTTGCACGACCCATTCGAGAAGAGAAGGGGATTTTGGGAATGGTCAATTAGTGATGTGCGCGATCTTTCGGTCGCGCACATCACTAATAGAAATACATTCAGGTCAATGACGTCATCGACCCGGAACGGGCCCCACTTTTGAATTGAATTTTGTAAAATCACTTTTAAGATTTTCTAGCCATCACCATTATGGTCTCTTTTGTGTGCCCATAAACAACAATTTCCAGTAATGAGACACAACGTACTGAGTCAATGACCGTGAACCAGCTTGTACACAATCATCATAGCAAGGTATAATGATAATAATTCCCAAAGGTAAAAAAAGGGCGACAAAGGACAAACACGAATCTCTTAACACAGCCAGGTGACTGGTGCGCGACGGACAAAAGCTGCATGTTCCTGGTATCGAACCAGGAACCTCTCCATTTTCAGTGGAGCACTTTAGCAACTTAGCTAACCAGGAGTTACAGCTAGGTGACCTAACCAGTCACCTAGCTGTGTTTGGAGATTTGTGTTTGTCTTTGTCCCCCTTGTTCCTCGTTTCCAGGAATTAGTATCGTTATTCTTCATCAGCTCGCTGGCACCTTTGCATTATTTGCATCATTATCAAGGTTTAAATATTTCATTCCAAAGATTCACTTCATCTCTCCGAAACACGTTACATTATATGTCTATCCACTGTTTTTCTTTTTCCATGAGCTGCATTTTGTTACGCATTTAATATATTGAACTCGTGTTACTGATGCTAGTTTTGTTTTTCTTATAAAGCGGCGAGTAAATTTATCGTAAGAGTACACAAAACTTGGCCATTCAATCTGAGTCAATAAATGAGCTTCATTTCTTTTTTAAAAAAGAAAACTCAAACACGCGTTACGCGTTGAACGTTGTGTGTTATATATAAAACATATCGCTTGGTGCACGCTTTATTTTCAATATCTAAAGTTGTAATGATGTGCTATCTGTATAAATCTAAACTTTTAGGATTTCCAACATTAGGCATTAAAAATATAACACACTGATATTATGCGCCCGACATTATTTTTATGAATGGGAAAATAAATGATGCCCTGAAAATTTCATTCCTTATTTTTTTAGGCTCGTTTACGTTGGACACATGGTAGACTTATGTCACATAAATTATACCATTAGAGACACCGGTTATAATTGTAGTACAGTTCGGGGATATGTAATACCAAATGTTAAAGCAACACACGTAAATATAGTACGTGGAAAAGTGTAAACTGCTGAGATTTCTAGAGTTCTAATATTCCACCTTTTGCATTTATCTGTAAATTTTTTTTTCACGTATATTATTTTAACTAAAATTACGACTAAACATATGTAGATTTAGACTCCACTAAAGTAGCAAATTCGACCAGTTTGTTAATGGTCTACATGATGGGGATGATGAAGATAACTTGAAACATTGATTTTATTTCGGCTGAGTAACAGGCTGCTTCTTACGCTGAATCTCGCGAACAACAAGCGGGCAAAAAATGAAGCCTAAAGGCTGTTTTAAACGTTTGCGTTTGAGTTAAATGACTCCGTTAGGACTCCTTGCGTTCCACCTCCGACGCGCTGCGCGTGCCTAAGTTGCCGTAGTGACCGTCTAGTCATGAGCAGTCATAAGAGGTCGCAACGGAGAAATACCCAGATAACAAGTTCATTGTGTTGATCTTTCGGTGTCACGTACGGAAAGCCATCGGTGCGCACAAATGCGGCACGACTACTGTGACAGCTTTCGGCTGAGTAACTTTTTTTCTCACGCAGTAAGAAGAGTTCCATTCGATGGCTGATGCGGCGGTCGTGCCTAATTGGTGACCCGCGTAGGAGTTGATTAGGTTACGCCAAAAATCCCGCACAAAGACTTTGTTATCTAAGTTGCCTTGAACGCAGTCAGTGATACTCAAACGGACGCCCGTACCAGCGATAAGATAATCGATAAGATTAGGAACCAGACAATAAGTTAGTTCGTACTCCGTCATGGTTGTTCTGTCTAATACGGAGAAACACACGAAAATCTTCATCTTGTGAAGAACAATGAATCGACAAAAAAAAAAAAAAGAAAGACGTGGCAGGGATTTCAATTTGTATCTCGATGTTCTTCTATAAATCCAGTGATTGCGATTTCTTTACGTCTGCAGTTTTAATTAGGATCGCCAAGTATTTCATCGGTCGTGCGAGGCGATATCTTGCGCGATTTAATCCATGAATGATACCGCTATATTCGTCTTTTCACATTACGTCCTGACGCATTCGGCGCTACGAGCTGAGGGAACCATTCAGACAGCGTCAAAAGTGCGTTATTATTGTGTTCGTCGTGTTTTAGTAGTTGTTCACTCATCGCTGAACCAATCATAAACGCAAAAGGCTCAGTGACTTTCAACTTTGGCGCTGCTTGGTTTCTCCCGTTGGCTCGTAGCGTCGGCCC